TTTCTCTTAGCGATCGATGATGTAGTCCAGAGTATCAATAGTTTTTTTTTTTTTTTTCGTACGTGGTTCACTTTCGTTTCGTTATGTTTTGTTATGTTAATGCGAACACGGAACCTTGATAATAGACTGAATCGAATGAATTAAAAAATTGCTTATATGTATTTTTCATTGGTAATTGAACACGGTTGAAAGATGGAGTTACAAACCATTCGTTTTCTCTTTGTTACTTTAGAAAATTTTATCGATAGTGGTGATATAAATTGTATCGATAGATGATAAATGAATTGAATTAAAAATTGCGTGTATATATGTATGTTAATTTTAAAGATGAAGTGAATAGATATAGATTGAAAATTGAAGCGAAGTGGCGGATTTTTGTTAAATATTCTTAAATATTTTTTTTTTCACTGAGGAAGAATTAGTGAGTTTGCTTTATGGTTAAGAAACTGTTCTAGAATGTAAATTGCAAGATATTTTAGCGGAATAGTTATTGTGAAATTATAGAGGTGTAAGCGGTTTAAATGTGAAAAATATTTTCTACCATGTGGATTCTGCGGTGTATCTTTACAAGTTTTATAGTTCAAGGTAATTGGTGTTGCTATTGCTCCGTATATGTAATGTATTAGTTTTGCTAATGAGACAATGAAACGCTAATGCTAATACAATAATTTATTCTAAAATTTCTCGATGGTTTAACGTTAGAAAATTTTATTACTGAATTATTTTTAAATGGGGAACAATTTTTTTTTTGTAAATACTGCAATTTAACTTTGGAAAAGTGCAATGTGGAAAAATTATACAGAAAATTCAACGTCTCAGCCGCGTTATTTGGTGGAAAGTCGGTGATTCTTTGTAATCGTGAAGTAGAAAACGAGAAGTTTCACTCTTATGGTATACGCTTGCACGATTTATAAGTTCGCTAAAGATGCAATACCCGATTAATCTCGAAAATCAGTTCGCACGAGATACCGATCTTTAAGATCCTAACGAGGATTATATAATTGTGAACAGTGGAAAATAAACAAAACGTATAAAAATTTGACTCGATCGATCAATATTAATGATTCAACAATGATAACGAATTTAAACTTCTGGATGGCTAATAATGGAGAAAGATGCAATATTCATAACCTGTTAGTAATACCATAACAGTTAGTTTATTTCTATTGCGTACATCCACTGTTATTTATGATCTATTAAACAGGATAAAATGAAAAGAGACGTAGATTTTCACTGAAGAAATCGATCAATTAGACAATAGTGATTTATGTCTAATATAAAGAGTGTATTGTGACTTATATAAAGTTTGACATTTATTATACGATTTAATAAAATAAAAATCTAAGAATTGTTTTATAACAATTTTTATATAATTATACTCAATGATTTTAACAGAATTACAAAAATTTTTAGGATATCATGATAATCGTTAATTACTTTCTTTATTATTCTTATTTGTGAAATGTTATTTAATTATGTTAGGATTACAATGAGATTAAACACTGGTTTATTAAAAAAAAAAAAAAAGGAATGAAAAAAAAATTTGTAAAATGACAGGTTGTGCGTTAAATTGGTGAAAGTAGCTATAATAAAACTTCCCAGTCTACTAGATAGCTGATCCTCGATCAGTTAGCCTCTTGTTTTTCTTTTAATAACGTTCCCAACAATTTCACGTAAGTTGAAAGTATATATAAAAAAAAAAAAAGATATTTACATGTTTCTAATTGTAATTGCATTGCACTAAAATTAAACAATAATCAATTTCAATTATAATAGATAGAAATAATCGATCAATTACAATTTATACAACTGGAATTATTATTATTTAAATGAGAGTACGATGGACAAACTCTGAATAGAGAGAGATAATTATAGAAAATTGGAACAAAGGAATAACAAGTAATTCTTTTCGTCGAAAAAGAAACGATACAAAGGAAAAACGGAGAAATTGAATTGCGTTTACAGCTTGGGTTTACAGTTTTACGTTGGTTTTCGCATAATTAATCGTTCGATCTCACGAAAGAAGTTCATGAGTGAAAACCAGAATGGATGAAAGTTCCCATAGATGTTAAGAATGAGAGAACTCTTCCCTTCTTTCACGAGGAAAAATAACTTTCGTTAATTACTTTTCTATAAATGGCTACACACAGAAATACAACACAAATTTATATAATATATTTCTTATATATCAGTTGAATAGAAAATAGATTATTAATCGAATCGATCAGAATGTTCTGTGAGAAAGGAATGCAAACATTTTCATTTTTCGTTTTCTTCGAATTGAAGAAAAATTAGTAAAGTTTTTGATATTAAAATACACTATTTTTTATGTTCTATTTGGAATTCCTTTCAATTAAGTTCATTCAACTACGTGCAAATAATAACGAGTGATAATAACTTGAGAAATTGTGAAATATAATGAAGGTAATTTTGTGAATTAGAAAGGAAATTGTAAGAGATGTGAAAAGTAAGATTTTTTTTTTTTTTAGGAGAAAAATAATTTCTATTATTTCAGCTTTTACAAGCATTTTACAGCATTTACGTCGAATAATTATTTTTGAAAATAAACATATGTGGTAGAAAGATACGTAAAATAGAAAAATTAAATTTGAAATTAATCGTCGATGGATTTTGCATTGGCACAGCAAATTAATCGTCCTTTCATCGATTCTAAACAGGGTAAACGTAATATCGCAACCACTTTGTTTGCTTAATATACACTGATCACTTAACATTACTCCTAACATGGGGGCGAAAGTCTGTCGAAAGTATTCCAAGCACACTTCGTTGCGTAATTTTCAACTAACACTTCAAATTTCGAGGATCAACACGGAGACAGAATTTTAAACGAGTGGTGCACGACTGAGAGCAAAAATTATTCCTTTTAAAAACATTTAAATTCCGCGTAAATTACACCTCGTTCTGAATCTTCTTCCAGAATCAACAATTGTCAACAAAACTTTATAATCACTTAATTCATACATTCTCTTAAGTAACAAGTTTAAACAACTTCATACAAGTGAAGTTTACGAAGATGATTCTCCTACAACAACAACAACAAAATTGTAAAAACTTGCGTACAGCCTCGGATTTACAACCTGCAATTTACAAATTGTCAATTCTCTAAAATTATCGATAACAATTATACCAATTACCATTATAAATTATTTTGCATCGTATCGAGGAATAATCTGCCCAATTCAAATTTAATCTCGAAAGTAAAACTCAATCAACCTCGATCCCACATCCAAATTCAAATTTTCACTACACAACATAAATACAATACATAAATTCATTCATAAATTCTTAACATCTCCGAGTCACCGTAAAAACCTATATATATATATATATACCATACGTCATCGAACACGAAAGTGCACACGCCTATTCTTTCTCAACTCGAAGGACACTGCGAATGAACTCTGAAAGGACACCTATCCAATACCAATACGATACCCGCACCCTCTGTCAAAGCTCGCGCAAAGAAACGGTGCGATTCACGCGCGTATCAACGTGAAACGAAAATCCAAAGTACGTACCAAAGATATAATCCTCATGGCGCACGAGTTGGGAGAGAAGGAGGGTACAGGGTAGCCGTGGAACGATCCTCCAAGAGTTTCACTGAGAGAGTGCAGTCGTATAGTACGGAGCTCGGTCCTTTATAACCTATACGAACGGTTTTGCTTATAGTGGGGGCTAGTAACCGCGTCTCCTCTTGGACACACGGCGTTGTAACAAGCCGCAAATTAGATTCTCGTGAGGCCGGTCGCCGGCATGGCCATTGCCAAACCAGAAAGCCACGGGGCCTCGCGTTGCCAAATTGTATGGAAGCGTGTTGTGTTTGCGTGTTGTGCGCATTGTGCGTGTACGCATACGCGCGAAAAAGGAGAGAGGGGGGAGGGGTGGTATGTAGGTCGTTCGAGCACCATGATCGAGAGAATCAGAATTTTATAATCGCCAGAATCGATAATGATCTGCCGCGTGCGTTTGTAGGGAAGTGTTATCCTTTGACGCGTAGATTGCATTCCGATTTTTTCCGCTGATGTAACTCGATTTCGAGGATTATTTCGAGAGTAAGAGAGGTTGAACGAACGTGAGGATAATTTGTATTTGTTTTTTTTTTTTCTTCTTTTTGGAAATAGTTTAAAAGAGTTCTTTTTTTTAAATTTATAGGATTATAATTCACACGTAAGAATTATATTAATGGAGATGGTGGAGAAACGTGAGAAATGGATAGATATTTTGAAGAAATTTAAGAAGTAGTTTAAGAATTTACATTTTGAAACTTTATTCTTTATCTGTTTAATGATATAACGATATTTTAAACTGACGTTATTTGCAGGTAATATGCTTGCCTCGTTTAAGTAATTTATACATAGTGATTTATTCTTCAATTGTATTTGTATTGTATTTTAATATATATCTGCGTGCATATTCTTCGTTAAAAAATTTATTACGGAAAGATGATATCGCGTTACTTTATTATCTGCAATTAATACGATCCGAACAATCTTCGAGCAGATCTTTTCAATCTTCAATGTTAAATCGTTATCGATAATTTTTCAAAAAAAAAATTGATGTTTAATTAATTAATCGTATTTATCACAATACTATCCACGCACGAATCTGTTCGAAGAAAGTGTGTGAGAATATCGCGTGGCACGATCGTCCATTCAAAACGTCTTGAAAATGTTGCATCTTAATTCGAAAGATATATATTAATCATAATTAATTGTCTCACACATCGCGTATGGAACAACACTTATATTATTAAGTGATCGTCGTTTCTCGCTTTCACTGATATTATTCATATTATTTATAATTCTGTCTTACACACTCGATTTATTCGAATTATTCGGTTATTTCTCGAAAATTGTTGAGAAATTTAACTTAAATTGCTCTCTGCTGCTAGGTGAGAAATATACGTGTATCTCGCAAACACGATCTCGTTAGTTTTTCATTCGGCAAATTAACATTGACTTTTGATGAAAACAGAAATTTGTTATTTTCTGGTAATGAGGAAATATCCAAATATTTCTGCGATATAATACGTATAGATAATACAAATGGAGTTAGGAAGTGATATATTTTCTGAATTCTGTCTCGCACTATCGGTGAAAGGCAGAAATCTTTACGTTGAAATCACATATAAATATACATATGTGCAGCGAGGAAACGCGATTAAATTTATCCATAAATTTATACCATTTCTTAATCGGTATATCGTCGCGATGTTGAACGATGTAAAACGGGATCAATAACTAGCAACCTGCTTTATCGGTGATGATTTATATCTGATCGAGGAGCCGGTTTCTCGGAAGAAAATTCACTTACCCACTTTCATTACCGAGATCACTCCACGATTCCAGCTCGCTTTCGGTATCATCAATGAGAAGATCAGGCGAATGGATCCACAACTCGAGACTCGTTTACGAGACTCGTCCTTCGCAACAGGATTCCGATTCACCGTTTCTAACTCGTCCCTAACCATAGTTCAATGTTACTATAATGTTGTGCGTATTTCATCAGATCAGTTCGTTTTGCTTCGAATTGCGTAGGATATAGGATGTAGAATTTGATGAATATTTAATATAAAGAGATGTGAAATGTATTTCGATTCAATAATTTTATCTACACAAAATATTTTTATAACTTACATTTTTCTCTAATTTGTTTGTGCGACAATAGAAATGTGAAGTTGATTGATATTTAAATATCGATGATAATATTGCAAAATATATTAGCTTTTAAATAAAAGAAAAAATAAACTTCGTGTAAATTATCGTAATTACCAAAGTATTATGAGAATCGTAAAAAAAGTCAAATTATGTTATTTCTAACATCTGTTGCTCTTCGTATATCACTCTGATCATGCGTCTCGTCGATACACATATTATTATACACATACTGCAATATTTTCTAACGTGACGATAAACTAATTCAACGGATACTAAAATGGCCTTCTTAGAACTTTCCTAAGGGGAAAGTTATTTTCACGAGGCTGTTTTCGCGTTCGCAGCTGTAAGAGTTCATTTACAATTTCTTTGTTTCCTTATCTCGAAATAGTTCTTATCCTTTTTCTTTACCAACATTACATAAAAATTTCAAATTGATATCGACGCGTGTAATTAACTTTAAGAACCAATTTAAAGTCTTTCTTTTTTTTTTTTTTTTTTTTTGCGGAAATCTCACATAACCTCTAAATTAATATCCTGTACTTTCCCTTAATCGTATTAATTTAAATGTGCGTAACATCGATCGCCTGTTTAAAATGAATGAATTAATTTAACATGAAACGTACGCAGATCTATATCTCGAAATCCTTTGACAAAAATTTCTTTCGCGATCTTACAGATCCGAAACAGAGTGCATCGATAATTTAATAATGGATGCTTCTACCTAATGTTTATTAAACGTAAGTTCTCGAAACGTGTTGCCACTTGCCGTTTACGTGAAATTCAATAGGTCGCGAAATAGGTTGCATCAATCGACGACGATTTCAACGATGACGATAAATTCCATCAAAGTAGGAGTTCTTGTATAACTATGGGCAACTACAATGTTGAAACCCGCGGGCACATTTTGCGTGACTCGCTTAGACGATAACGAACATCGGTCGTTTCTCTCGGCCGATACGGTTTTATATATCTCGGTTAACGAACGGCAATTCCTCCCCCACGTAATTTCCATTTCGTGATTATCATTCGTCATTGTCAAAATTGGGAATGCAATAGTCGGTTGAACGGTTCAAAATTACTTGGAACGCGGAAGGAAGTGCGAGCAGTATCTTGATAATGATTACTTTCTCTGAATCTAGATTCAATCATTTTGCGCGTGGGTAGATATCATTCTTTTCAGAAATTACTTTTCAGAATTTTCGATTCTCGTTGCAAAACCTTTTAAGTTTAAAATTTTTTTTTTTCCTTCAATTTCGATGCAATTCTTCAAAATTTTATTGCAAATATACTCGTCTCCTCTTTCTTCCGAGATTTCACAAAGAAATAGTAATTCTTAAGCGAAAACTTTATAAGTGAAAATTTAGATTGTTAATTGTTCCTTAATCAAAAATTTCGGCAAGAATCTTTTTATAATACCCGAAGATCGTAAATCTATCCTTGAAATTCGAGTTGTTCTATTGTGCGCGATTATGCAAAGTACGAATCTTCGTGTAACGCGTTACACCTGAGCCGCGAACGTGATGGCTGTAACCTCGATGCAACGATGAAGAAGGTCAATGCACATGGAGTAATGCTCACCTCGGGCGGAGGTGCATCGTGACACGAACGATTGGCACAATGCCAGAGTTTGTCGTTTGTCATTTGTCCTGTAATCCTTAACGCCATCTTCATACTAATACGTCCCTTTGAATTTCGTGCCACGTGCCTGTTTCTGCCTCATTTTATCTTCCATTCTACGTAATTTCAATCTCTTCTTTATTCTTGTTACAGAATTTCACGCAAGGTGATCGAATCGAGAAAACAAGGACGAAGGATCGCGATCGGTGAGTCAAAAATTAATTTACTTGTTTCGTTTGTTACGAATCCCTGTCTGTCTCTGTTAATTTTGAAACATATCAATGGAAGGAGGATTTGCATGTAAAAGTAATTTATCATTTAATTGATATGTAATAAGTTAATTTTTATAAAGAATGGGATATCGTTAACGTTAAGAAAAGATTTTAAAATTGAATCGAAATATATTTCTTTTTTCAATCAAAAAAGAAGCTAAAGTTTAAAATCTTGAAAATTATGTCAGAGGATACGTAACAAACGCGTTCAAAAATATTTTACGATGCTCGCCAAAACGGAAAAATGAATATTCATGCTTGTGAAAAAATACAATGGGTTCGTATTTTTCTTCGAAATCTCTTTCGTCGAGTTAAAACACCGTGATTCTCGAGCTGTTTAAAGAATAACCGGTGTTGGGAAATCGGAGGAAATGTCGTTGTACCGTAGAAAACTGGTAAATTGCAACAAAAGGACGCGTCTTGAGAACGTACGAATTTCGGCGTGGCCGAGATCTGAAAGATAAAATTAAAACTTCGTCTCGCTTTTAAGTTTGTTCGCGTTTACGTGAGAACGTAACTTTGAATCCTATTATTCAATTCGCGCGGGTTTCGACATTTTTACAATCGAGAAAAGGCGAATTAACGCCAGGTTTGCAGAAGCGTGATCCGGGTTGCCGTCACCACAGGCTTCGTTCACTCGATGTGGATACATTCACCAATGGATCCGATGGTAAGTGAAACATTCACGAGCAAAACTATAAAATTATTTCTTGTGACTAAAATTCTATTATATTTCTTAGTATATTTCTAGTATATTTCATTCCATTGATATAATTCTAATATATTTATATACTAAAAATTTTGACAAATCAAATGTTGAAAAAAAATAATTTTTATTTAAACGTGCTTCGTTTTTCTCTCAAATACTTTTTTTTATGTGAAATTTTATTTTTTCTCTCTTTCCCTTTTCTTAATAAAAAACGAAATGAAAGTGACAATAAAAAAGATGAAAGTTAAAAAAAAAAAAAACACAAAGATGAAATTTCCTATCACAATCTTTTACAAAGATTTAAACACTTAAATCCTTGGAACGAGGAGTAAAATTGACTTGTACCACTTTCACACTCGTTCCCCTGTAATTGCAGGTGAACAGGATGGTTGAATCTGTTCCTGTTTTAAAATCTGACGTAATAATCACACGATACCATTGTTACACGTAGTCCAAACGTGAAACGGGCGTCCTCGTCGAAGAAACGTGAAGGTCGGGGTGGAAATTTCGTAACTGAAATTCCAATCTAGACAAGTTCCGGTACAAACTTGATACGGTTCGAGCCCGTCGATCGCCTTCTCTTATTTTTATTCTGGAATAAATAATTCGAAAGGTCGTTTGTTGCGACTGGTTATACGAGTTGGACTGGTTGGAAAAATAGGCGTAATTAGAAAGTTGGCGGATACAGTTCGAATAATCATAATGTTCATAGGTTGGAAACGTTTATTTCTTCATTATCTAACCTTATCATCGTGTATTAACAAAGATTAAAACGAAACGTATTTATCTGCAACTTGCTACGTGTATATAACGACAGAGTGAAAAATACTTTTGAATCTACGTTTGATAGAATAACGCAATATCAGAGTTGTACACAGAATAATGGAAGATCTGACAATTTATTTTCCAATTCGATTCACCTTATAAACCTTATCTTAATTAGAATATAGTAAGCGTGCTGAATTTATTGTGCGGTCCCGCGAGACGCGTACTCGAAGACGCAGCTTGAGGTTCTCCTTGAAATAGAAATTGATTAACGGTACCGCCGATAACGGGTGCAAGCTGCGCTCTCCGTAGGATTAAAAACCAGCACGGAAGCCTACCGTGGAATTTTTTATTTACAACATTTTTACAATCTTCCTTCTTCCATCATCATCAACGATTTTCACGCGCTTTTTTTTCGCGATTTCGTGAGATGGAAACGAAAGAATCAGAATTCATCAGTGTCTCAGAATCGAAAAATTTCTCGACAAAATAAAGTTTTGACATAATTCCGATCAAACCTCGTTAAATATTCGGAGATCATTCTTTACATTTCCACGCCACGTTTCATCAAACACCGCTCATCGCAGTTAAATTAATTCCAATGGCAAGAATGAACTCATCGTACCCTCGTCGGAGAAATCGAGAGCACGACTCCGTAGGTAGGCAGCCATGACGAATAACTTATTACCGAAGAAAAAGTCGAGAACTTTCGTGTTCCTTGCTCTTCCATATTCCAAAAAAAAAAAAAAAGAAAAAATAAAGAAAAACGAAAAAGGATCGAACGAAAAAAACGAATCGAATTAATTCTCGAGTTCTCGATGCTTCCCCCGATAATGACGCGACCTACTACGCGCAATCACGATGGCGACCGATCGATCGATGGGCCACGGTTTGCGATCCGACTACGTTTCGAAAACGATCAGAAACCGTTTCCCCTCCGTCGAAGCGTCGCGTCTTCATACGTTTACGGACCAATATACCGAGTGTACCGTAGTATACGAACACGAGGGAGGGACTAGATGATTCTCTAGTAATAACCGAAACTGATGTCGTGCAAGGGTGGCGCGACGCCTTGGGGAAGGGCGTAATCCCTGGCCAGCTGGTCGAGGATACCGCCGCTCTGGCTGCGCGGTTGCGGTTGGGAGCGGTGCTCTTGGACGGGCGCGGGGCCGAATTGAGCCGGTCCTTGGTTGTACAGTTGGGACGGTGGGGCCGGTTCCTCCTGTTGAAGGAGCGGGTTCTGCTTGGCGATGGGGGACTGGGGCGCGGGGGTGAAGATCGGCGGTTTCGGGACTCCGCTCGACTGTCTGGGCGGCAGTGGCGGCGAGTAGACAGCCTGAGTGTGGGTCTGGGTTGGGTGTTGGTAGGCCGGTTGCTCGTATTGAATCTGTTGTTGCTGAAGGGGCGCGGGGCGGGGCGCAGACGCTCTGACAGGTGGTTGCCTCGGTGGGGGTGGTTGTTGGTACTGCTCCTCTTGATAGGTGTGCGGCTGGAGTGGCTCTTTGCTGGTCGTCTCGTCGACCAGGGTCGGTGGCGCGACCGTGATACCCTCGCCGGCCGGTTGGAAACCGTATTGATTCGCCCCGTACTCGACCACCCGCACTTTCCCGGTGTCGTCCACGAAACCGTATTTACCCTTCACCTCGCCTGTGGGTAGTTTCGTCTCGATCTTGAACGAGCCATCCGCCCCCTCGAACCCGTACGTGTACGACCCGTCCTCGTTGTGCCTGTTGATCTGTTTCAAGATGGCGACTGGGGTTGGTTTCGGGGTGGTGGGGCCGGCCGATTGCCTGTTAGGCGCGGAATCAACGGGGTAACTTCGGGGGGTCGGATGGGCCGGTCTCGGGGACTCGTACGCCGAATACTCGTCCACGTAGTTGGCACCCGGTTGCTGGTATTGCTGGCCCGATACAGAGAGTATGGCAGCTACCAATAACAGTACCTGGAGGACAAGACAAGAGGTCTGGCGTTAAATCGAGAGCAGAAAGATTTAACGAAAGATAACGAGTTTGGTTGGCTGGAGATAAGGGAATTATGAATAGGGTGCATCGATGCCGTTATTTTCGTAATTTTGTACGAGTAAATAGAATACGTAAGCGAATTAATAAAGAAAATTTATTATTATTGATAAATATTAATTAAATTATCTTCGTGATAAGTCTTGATCGTGACTTTCTAATCGATTGCAGGTGCACTCGTAAACGCCTCGTAAAGATCATAACTTTAACAATTATCGCAGCGTCTTATTACTTCCGCTTTCTCCTCGCGAGTTATGTTTCGCAGAAACTATCGTGGTTACACAAGTAACCAGTAAACACAAGCGTTACGTTTAAGAAAAAACCTTCGACACGTACACAGGCTTCGTATTTTTTCTTCTCGATTTATGTAATTTACGGTAAACGGTGTTCTGCGAGCAAATCGAAAACCGTTATAAATTTTCAGGATACGGGTCAATATCGAGAACTCGGTACTCCGTTGATCTTAAGATAGATCGTAATTGTTCGCAGAAAGCTGTTCTGAGCTCGGTGATGCATGACCCTCCATGGAGTTACCAGAACCTTAACCGCCAGACGTGACTTTATTACACCACCTCGACTCGAGTAGATAACCGCATTCGAAGGATACCGGATGCCTTCACGCCTCGTTCGACAAGGTGCACGGTAAAAGTCTCGGTTTTAATCGCGCCTGATCGCGCCTTTTCAACTATTGTATCATATATTCATCCTTCGGTAAGGAGGATGAGCGTGACACGTTTGTTCAATTGCACGAGTTCGAGAGTTTTAACAACACGCGCGACGCACTTCCTCCAGTTCTGCCCGAATGACCACGAAGAAACGAGAAACGCTTACAGCTTATGCCGACACGCGTTCCGTCCGACATAACGTCCTGAACGCGTTTCTGCTATTATATAAGTATGTTTTCGAGTAGGCGGCCGAGAAAATCGGTCGGCTCGCTTTCGTGATTTTTCGGTTTGCGTGAAAACGTGCATACCGTTTGTTGCGCAATTTGTAATAATTGATTCGCGATTTTTAGGATATTTAGAGAGTATTATCGATCGTTAAATTTCGTCCGTATTCGTAACATCGTGTTCACACATAAAGATCGTTCGATGTAAAATTGATCTCCTCTTTGCTACACGGCCGAGCAACGTGTTCAACGTTTCCAAATTATTCGCCGATTTAATCAACATCTTACGAGGTCCATTAATGCACAAATCACAAGCACAGTTCCTATTTTTTTCACGATGAAAAAAAACCGATGATCACATCACACGCGAGATGAAAATTTCAGACTAAGGAATCGCGATAATAATCACCAATGATTTAACGAGTAATGATGATCGGTAATAGGAGATCATAGAAAAGATCTCATTTTTTTTCTTTTTTTTTTTTTTTTTTTTTTTTTAAGGAAAAATATTAGGTTCGAAGGGTTGCTTAATTTAGAAGAAGAAGAAGAAAAAAAAGAAAGGTGTACGACGATGCACTTCGAAATACGTACCGTCGCGACGGTGCGCATTGTGTTCCAAGTGGTTGGTGTGTTAGTGTGTGTGAATGTAAGTAGGCAGCGAGGCTAGAGTACCAGCGGTTGCTCGAACTGAGGCCCTCATATACCTTACTGGGGTCCCCCGTTCCTACCCCCCTCTTGCCCTCTACACTCCTGTTAGCTCTGGGGGACTTTCACTATCTATTCGACTCCTGTATATACGGTCGCCTTGTCTCGTTACAGCACCTTATATCCCCTAAATATTCCCCACCAGGCTGGCCCGGTTTCTCCAGAATCTGGAAAATCGATCGTGAAGTGGACCGGTTCGCCACTTACTATTTTATCCAGGTTTCCGTTGTGCCTTGATTTCTATTTATTTATTTATTCATTTTTTTAGAGGGGAGGGGGAAGAGGCATGGAAATTGAAAAGATTTTCGAACGAATTTTTTGAGAAGAATGGTAGAAACTTTGGATGGCATGAATTTTATTGTAAAGTTTTTTTTTTCTGACTTGTTATGAACTTTGAAAAAGTTGGAGGAAACATTGAAATTGGGATGATTTTTGAATAGTTTATTTGTTTAGATGAATGAAATGTTCAAAGAAATTCTCAAGTTGCAAGAGATATTAAAATTGGAATGATTTTTTTAATATAGTAATTTTAATATCTATTAAAATATTATCTCTTTACAAAAATAGCAAAAATTTTTGAATAACAAGAATATATAAAACACGTTTGCAATGGTCTTGAGAAATATTTTAAAGGAATTCACAAATTGGTTACGTGATTGATGAGAATCTGTAATTATTCGATTGGTCAGGACGACAAAGAGAGGATTATCGAGGCGTTAGGTTTTTGATCGAGGGAATGGATCGAATTTGTCTCTTGCGTCCTCTTATATTACCATTGCAGTAACTCGTATACGGGACACGTTGGCCGGCAGGTTGTTCTGGTTTCTCGTCACTCTTGAAAATCATTCTTAAGTTCTCGATTCGAGTGCCTCGATTCTAGCGCCGATCAATTTTTATTGTCTCCCCTTGATACCTTTCACTGTGTGTTTGATTCTTGCACGTTCGATCGTCTTATTAAGGATATCATACGGTTTTATTCATTTGGAATTTGGCGTTTTGCGCGTTTAAGGTGTTGGTCGGCCATTATATCGTTTTCCCTGATTCTCGAGAATGGAATTTTAGAAATCCAGGTGTTGCATTGCAAGCTAATTAAGGTGTATTTGTTAATTGTTTACTACGATTAATTTTTATGCAAGAGCATTGGAAAATATTGAAATTCTTTTCTAAATAATGTGAAATTCGATCAGTTAAGATCAGAATAAAGGAATGGATGGATGTGTGACGAAATATGAATGATAACAAGAAATGTTTTTTATTATTAACTGCTGCATGTAATTTTTAATACGTCTTTTGCATAATTAGCAATTATACAAGTGATTACTGTTATCACCAGTCTTTTCTTAAATGACTCATCGTGATAAATACATATCTCACGTTACAAATTGGCACAAGTTGACGAAGCCAATATTTTATAAAAAGTTATAAAATTTTTAAAAGTAGTTAAAGTGAAGCAAATATTTTTGCATTGTATTTTTAATAAATTATCGATTCGAAATAGATTTACAATAATATCGAATGGTTATTGTAAATTCTGATTAACCAAGTTTTTAGATACGATACTGACAATAACAGAAGTGATACCTTACACGCAAAGTTGTTCAACTCCAAGTTTCTATGGTGAAATTATTATGTAAAAGTACCCATGTAGATATTGAGGTCACGCTACAGAAATTATACATATATATATATATAGCAGTTGAACGAAATAATGAAACTTTTACCACGAATACCAAATTTTATTCGAATACCGATATCAAAATTTATTCAAGTATGTTGTTTCGATTTAACCGATATTGGATGGAAAATATTACATTACAAATGTTTTAAGTTCCACTTTAAATTTAATCTGTATTATAAATTAACTTAATAATTACAGGAATAATTAATTTATAGATAATTCATTTTTTTTTAAGTTAGCAATATATATTTTTATAAACTAGCACAATATAATTTTAATTTTCCACTTGTATTATTGCCTCGTTATATATTTCTAAAATAAAATTGTGAATAAGTTGTTTCATAACATTTCACAGCAGAGAGATTTTTTTTATTAATTCATTCGCTTTCTTTTTCAAATAGGATATTATGTATATACATTCGAAACAAAAATTATATAAATTAGAACTAAGAATTGACTAAGATGAAAGAAAGAATTTATAATAATGTATAATTCGTTTATATTCCAGCTTTGTATAAGTGGAAAAAATTTCAAAGTTCAAGTATCATTCGAGCACTACCGTTACCTTATGCCTAACCCGTTATGACTTTACAGTTAATCAATAACACATCTGTAAAATCAAAACGATATGATTGTTAAATTAATATTCAATAACAATGGTAATTATTTCAACAAATATATTTATTTCATAATAATTTAATTAAATAAATATTTAACCACTTAATTACACATTATCATAAATTTTACTCGAATAAACGAAAAAATATTTGATCGATAGATCAATTACACGTTTATGGAATGGAATGAAATAAAATAAACTAGCCAGCACGCGCTTAATCTCTAATTATAGTACCGTCTATAACTCTCGATTTTGTAAGAATAATTACACCGATCGAGTAACGGTCGTGTAATTAATCTCATAAGTTAAAATAATCTGCTAAACTACACGTGTTTCTTCCCTCTCTCTCTTTCTCTTTCTCGACAACAGAAGCAAATTTGATTTCGTGAAACACAACGAGTATGCAAATTCACAGTGAACGCACGACGTTTTGTTTTCTAGTTAAAATTAAACTGTGAAATAAACGTGGACATTTCAGAAACGTAAAGAAGTAAATATCTAATACCACGATGTGATATTCCAAAGGAATTCAACGCTATATTATAATTAACACCTTAGATCTTAGTTTCGTGGAAATCTTTTCACGATGGTAAGAAAAAAAAAAGAGATCATCGATATACCAATATCTCGTTACCTTGAAACTGACCGAATACAAGGTTGATTCGATAAAACACAACTCTGAAAACGTGCTCGATATTCGACATTTTCGCTCGAAATACGTTCAAATCGCTTCGTTTTCTGCCGTAAAATTAGTCTTCGATCAGCGTTTCGCAACTTTCTATTGGCACGCTGCTTAGATCCCCTGCTGATCGATATATTTCGTATTACCCGCTTCCGTAATTTCTCCTGTGACGCGTAATTTCAAGTAATTAAATTTCAAGTGTTTATGAGTCGATATTCGAGGATTGAATTCGCCCGTACGAATCCTCTCTCGTAATACACTTAACGTATCATTTGGAAATGAGCTACCGACACGAGCTTTTATTTATTTAAGGAAATGGAACGAGAAAACGTGTTCCAAATTGATCCAAAGACTCTTATTTTTCTTAGAATCCAGTCTTTTGCAATTAAGGATAGATAAAACACACGAAATTTAATTCTGAATTTAAAAAGATACTCTTCGAGATCATACTTGGCGTCCAACAACCTAATATTTAAAACTTTTACGTAATACTATTAAAAGAATACTCGTACAAGAATAATCATCCATCGCAAACTTCGATTTTCTAAATTACCTTATAATCATCTCTCCCCCAACAATGAACGACCTCAATCACGATTCCCACGTAAATTTCATTTCACGTAACTCTCTCATTCATATCCTCCCCCCTCTATATTAATTATGATAACAAATCGTATTACGTATTTCAAAGATGATCGACGACCTCCCCTCCCCTCTCCTCCGTACAATGAAACTGCAACTCCTCGAGGTTGTTCGCGATTCGTTCTCCGATCGATTCTCCAATTTTTGCGTGTATCTCAATAAGAGCATCGCGCGATAATTGGCCGACAACGACCCAGATTGAGCTTGCATATATTCTCGTTCGACGCGACTTCATTTTACTGTGATCATCTGTCTGTACGCCGTACGTATACTCTCAATGCCAGCCGGTGAAAGGGAGATCCAGTCTGGTCAATTTCGTGTGTCCATCGAGCTCCGATCCCTCCCTAACTCCCTCTTCTTAACCGGGTTAAATTGTGCCGGCTGATGCAGGCAACGGGTTGGCGCCCGTTTTTGGGGAGATTTTTGTCTTCTCAAATTGTTTTCGATCTTTGTTCACACACGTTAAAACGATTGTAAAAATAACATTGGTATTATATTTTTTGGAAATAAAAAATATCTCTTCTCCCTTCGAGAGAATGTCTCCCTTGAGAGAGAGGTTTGATATATTTGTCTTCGTTGCGCTTTAAGTTATTTGTGTATCATTTTTTCTTTTTAAAGTAAAGAACGGTATCGAAGAGCCAATGGAATTATTTATTCTACGATTGAAAACGTTATGAGTGGAAACATCAGGGGACTTCCGGTAGAATTCAAGAGAAAGAGCAAAGCGGTGTTTTAACAGGCAGGGTAGAACGATATGACTCGTTGGAAGGTATGCAAGGTCAATCCGAACTGCAAACCGTTGCCTTTCACGCGTCACTCTCTTCGAAACTGCACAGAATCACTTTATGTATTAATATTTAACTGGATCTCGTTAAATTGAAAACGATATTCACAGAGAGGCAATAGATTTTCGTTCGTTTTTGTTAATTTGTTAATTGCTGTTCTTTCACTTTCGATCACACACGATGAAATTATACTTTTAGATCGAACCAAGACCAAGTTTCGTCGCGAGCAAGCGTTATTTAACATTTCAAAGGAATACTTAAGGAGGAATTTTTTTATAGGGGCCAGGTTGATCTTGTTTTCACTCTAAGCATTCTTTTCAGCCTTCTCTAATTGACCATACCCCACTTTCTATTTCTATGTAAGAATTCGAAACGTTGTTAAATGCAAATAATACTATTGTAATTAAGAGCGTGGTTTGACCAAAATTGGGGGTATTATATACGTGTGACGAAATGATATTATATATTGAGAAATTCTTTCGTTTCTTGCTATATTTCTTGTACTTTAGTAATAATATAAATTATGTCACAATCGAATGCAATAATTATAATTTTTTCTTTTTTAGAAATATTGTACATATTTGATTTACGTTTCTTATTAAAAATATATCTTTTTTTTAGAAAGATCTATGAATTATCCAATACTTGCTACGAAATATTGTGATTTATTCTAATAAATAAATATCCCTTC